ACTCCAGCAACTGCTCATTTCACAGATGAAAGGACGAGCCTGTGTTTGTGAACTGTGTTATATTTGCCGAGCCTCTCCCAGCTCCTTTTGTGAAAGAGCCCGGGTGGTTCCTTTAGAACTTTTTTGAATGATTATGTAGTTTAAACAAAAAAGAAAAGAAAAACTAGTAGCAGCAAAACATACAAAATAAAACTGCCACAAGGTAAAAGCAGATGTTCCGTGAAAGAAAATGAAAGGGGAGCCTGGGTTAGGGTGAAGAGCGTGAGAATTAGATCAGAGGGCTCTGAGTCTGAGAGCCAGGCTTGCTGGTGGGAGCACAGGCAGGTTATTTTATTTCTACCAGGCTTTGTTCCTTCATCTGTAAAATGGAGAAAATATCTATTTCATAAGGCCAATAAGATAAAAAATAAGTATGTCTGACAAATGGTGGGAGCTCAATAAATGTTAGCTCTTATCACCTAGTTATTCGAACATTGGGGAGTGCTAGTTAGGGCTGCAGGACTGCTTTGCCTAATAACGTGTGGAAGCTGAGAACCACCTCTCAATAATTGATGAGATGAAGGAGAAATCAGAAAGGAAGTAAGTGTATATATCTTATGAGCAGTGAATTCACTTTGTACTATTTGTCTTTTAAACGAAGTGGTATAAGGGCATTGCCACTTACTGTGATGATGAAGATAGTTGGATTTTAAATCTCCCACCTTGCATTTGTACCATCTGTTACTTGTCCTTTATTTCTCCTTTCCTGCCTTTTTTTGAATTATTCAAATATCTTCTATGTCCCATTTATCTCCTCTATTGAGTTTTCAGCAACAGTTTCTCTAGTGTTATGGTGGGAATAACACTATTTTTAAATTAGCACAATCTGGCCAGGTGCAGTGGCTCACGCCTGTAATCCTAGCACTCTGGGAGGCCAAGGCAGGTGGATTGCCTGAGTTCACAGGTTCGAGACCAGCCTGAGCCAGAGCAAGACACTGTCTCTAAAAAGTTGCCAGCTGTTGTGGCAGGCACCTGTAGTCCCAGCTACTTGGGAGGCTGAGACAAGAGAATCACTTGAGCCCAAGAGTTTGAGGATGCTGTGAGCTGTGAAGCCATAACACTACTCAGGGCAATCAAGGGAGACTCTGTCTCAAAAAAAAAAAAAAAATTAGCACAATTTCATACAATTGTATATACAATATAAATAGTACAACTTAATTTCATTCACTACTAGTCTCAATGGCACAATTTCATTTACTCCTTCCCATCTTAATGCTATTATTGTGATATATTTTATTTTACATATCTGATCTATTTAATAATATTAATACTGTGTTAACTTTGTTTGGATTAGCTAATGGTCCTTAGTGAAGTAAAAGCCGTGGCTGATGATCTTTCTGCACATATTTACTGTCCACAGTGCTCTTCATTTCTTCTTACAGATTCAGGTTACCATGACGGGTTATTCCTTTCCCTTCAGTTTCATTCACTCGTCTGTCTCTTCCCAGAATAGACAATCTGAACTTCATGTGAAAGCCTCCCCTAGTATCTGCTTACTGTGGAAGGCTGGTCTTAATTCTCTCTAGAGTTTGTTCATTTATATTTCTTTGTCTTCAGAGTTCTGTCATATTTAAGGAAACATATGGGTTTTTAGCTCCATCAGCATTTTGTTTGTTTTTGATAGGAGTGAAAGTCTTCCTAATCTGCTGCTGGGACCTCATTACACATGTATTTATTTTTTCAGGTTATTTATTTGTCTTGCCACTCCGTGCTTCTAGCTTCTCTCAGCCTAGAGAAAATACTTTAATATTTCTTGAATTGTATGTCTCCTGACAATACATTCTCTCAGCTCTAGTTGTTCAGAAAAGTCCTTATTTCACCTTCCATTTTAAGATAAATGTTCAATGGTTATAGAATTAAAAATGGGATGCTTTTGGGTCAGTGATCTAAAGGTGTCATTCTACTGAATTGTAATTTTCCTTGTTTCTGTTTAAAAGTTAGTGATTATTTAGGCAATGCCTGTGGCTCAGTGAGTAGGATGCCGGCCCCAGGGTGGTGGGCTCAAACCTGGCCCCGGCCAAACTGCAACAAAAAAATAGCCGGGTGTTGTGGCGAGCCCCTGTAGTCCCATCTACTCAGGAGGCTGAGGCAAGAGAATCGCCTAAGCCCAAGAGCTGGTGGTTGCTGTGAGCTGTGATGCCACGGCGCTCTACCAATGGCAATAAAGTGAGACTCTGTCTCTTAAAAAAAAAGTTAGTGATTATTTTTTAATGTTGTTCTTCTGAGGATAATGTATCTTTTCTTAATGGTTGCTTTTAAAATCTTCTTCTCATATTTCATTTTCAGCACTTTGGTTCCGATATGCCTTGGTGAAGTTTTCTTTGTTTTATTGTCTGTGGTGATGGAAGAACCACTTGAATCTGTGAGTTAGGGCTTTTATCCAATTTGGAAAATTTTTAACCATTCTAAAAAGTAATATTTATGTAACACATTCTCTCACATGTTCTTCTGAGACTTTTGTGCATATCCCACATCTTTCATGCATCGTACGTTCTGTTCTTTCTATGTTTCTCTCTCTCTGTGCTTCAGTTTTAATATTTTGTAGTTGATCTGTTTTCAGTACAACCATCTTCCCACCTGCTGCATTTGTTCAATTCACTGTCAAACAAGTCTAATGAGTTTTTAATTTCAGACACTGGTATTTTATAATTCTGGAATGTTCATCTGATTTTTATTATAGAGTCTAATTCTTCATTGAAAAAAATTCATCTTTTAATTCACTTTGTCCTCCTTTTCCTCTGTTTTCTTTAGCATACTGATCATAGTTATTTTGAAGTTTGTGTCTGCCAACAATGGGAACATCTCTAAGTCTACATCTATTGCCCATTTTATCTCTTGACTATTGGTTGCTTTTTCTTGCTTCTTTGCATTAGTATTAGTTTTTATTTTATGCTGAACATTGTTGATGATTGTTGTAGAGGCTTCTGTAAATACAAAGCAGTTCGATCTGACAGGCAGCTGAATTGCTGGTGGATCACTCTAATCTTTCTGAGGCCTGGTTTTAGGTTTTCCTAGGACGTGTCCATTTCTCTTTTGTTCTTCCTCTTAGAGTAAGCCTTAATCTAATGGCAGCTCCTAAGGTGTTACCTTTATTTCTAGAGTATAGTGTTTTTTTTGAATTTCATCTAAATGCCTGGGGTGCTCATCAAAGTCTGCTGATTCTGGGTGGGCCCAAACACCAATCATCTCTCCCTAGAACTTTGTGAGATTCATAATTTTTCAACAATTCTCAGTTGCTGTTCTCTGCAAGCTTCCAGGACTCTCACCTACATTTGTGAGGCCCAGGAGTTTGCCAAGTATTAAAGTGAATTTCCATGAAGACTTTTGGGATTCTTTGCCCAATGCTTCCCTTCTTGACAGCTACTCTCCCAAACCTGAGTAATTTTGCATCCAAAATCTCCAAATCCTGTCTCCTCCATCTAGAGACTACTTCTCTTTGCATTATAGCCTAGAAAACATTCCCAAGAGAATAACCTGGATTAAGATGGGGCTGTGATAATGGATTGACCCAGTGATGCTTAATTTAGATTAGCTACTTTTGCCTTCTTACAGGTTTGGCTTACATCTTTTGCCTTATTCACATACAGATACTTTTAGGGTAAACCCCACCTTTTACTCAACATTAGAGAGTTATGGAAGTTTTACTGTGGACCAACTACTTTTCATGTACTGTATCTGTTTTAATCTCCATGACAAGTATATAATAAGAAATAATAATAGGAGTGGAGAAAGAAAGAATAATAGTGAGTGTTTATACAGTATTACTGAATGCCACATATTGCTCTTAGCATTTCTGAGGAGATTCTGAGAAATGTCTCCTGCCCCCCGAAAACACAATATATAAGTGGTAGAAATCAGGATTTAAATCTAGTTAGGTTGGTTCCAGAATTTTTGCTTTTAGTCACTTTGCTATTGGTGATTTATTCTTGTGTTACAGAGAAAAGAGCTGAATTTTAGGAAGGTCAGGCAACCTCCTTGGTGGTTGTTTTTTTTTTTTTTTGAGCTAGAGCCTCAAGCTATCCCCCTGGGCAGAGTGCCATGGCATCACAGCTCACAGCAACCTCCAACTCCTGGGCTCAAGCGAGTCTCCTGTCTCAGCCTCCCAAGTAGCTGGGACTACAGGCACCCGCCACAACGCCCGGCATTTTTTTAGTTGCAGCCATCGTTGTGTTTGGCGGGCCCAGGCTGGGAATTCGAACCCGCCACCTTAGGTGTACGTGGCTGGCACCTTAGCCTCTTGAGCCACAGGCACCAAGCCAACCTCCTTGGTGTTAAAGGAGCTCTTGTGGATAGTGACACGGGGCTCCAAAGCCCTTGCTCTTTTCTTCAAGAAGAGAAGAAAAATGTTTTCACTTTTAGGATTTTTACTTTCAAAGGATTGGGTGAAAATTTTGTAAGGAATTGAGAGGGGACCAAGCAGCTTCCTTTTGTTCTTAACGAAGGTGGTATCTTCTTACACGTATGGTTCTATTGGCCTATTTATGGCCAGGTATTGGAAGGTGGTTGTTTTTCCCATGGATATGAATTATTTTTGAATACCTCTAAGACTGACTCTTAGGGAAGGTTTTTGACAGACCTATGAATGTCTGCTCTGAAAGTGGAAAGAGCAGAGCTCAACCTGGAGGTCCTCTGCCTACACTGGGGAAGCAAGATGCTCAACTGACTCCCGCAGCTTCCTCCAGGCACAAACACATGTGTTCCTTTGGTGTTTCAAACATTTTCCAACCACAAACAGAGTCCTGGGGAGGGTCTGAGAGACACCATATTTGTTTTGTTACTACTGCCAGACTCAGACTGAGAGACAGAATTGGTTCCCTTGCTGGCAAAATTCCCTTGTGCTATGCAGGATGTTTACACAGTAAGCCTGGAATGCCCAGGAGGCTGTGGTGTGCACTGTGCTGTGGGAGCCACACTGAACCCAGGGGTCTCACCTACTCTCTGACACTGCCCACCCTTTGTAGTGCGGAGGCTGCCAGCATCGGGTTCATCATTGTTATTGACCGGCGAAGGGACAAGTGGAGCTCTATAAAGGCATCCTTGACACGAATAGCTGTAAGTACTTATTTTTGTGTTACTATTATTATAAAAGTCATTGAAATTATCTGTTTAAGTATTTCATATCAAAGTCCTGGGGAAAAGGCAATTATGTCAAATTTGGGGAAGGTCTTTGTAGCAGGTGCTATTGTGTTATTCATGACCCCTCTGCCACCTGGAGGTCACCCATAGACAATTCCTAAGCATGGAAAGGGCTTTCTGAGCGTCTCTACCTTACTGACTTCTCTGGTCACCGAAGAGGGATAAGGAAGGAAGGCTGGAAAGTTGCTGATTCAGGAGTAACCTGTGATCGTTGAGTTAGAGGAATTGGTGGATAAATATTCCAGTTTGTATACCCTTCAGTGGGACAGTTCTGATGTGTGTTCCCTACAGTGTCTCAGGGGGTCTCAGCCCCTTTTTCCTATAGCAAGAACCCCATAACTGATACATTGGCCCTCTGTTCCTTGTCGTTTTTCTTCCTCATTTGTGTTTTCTAAAATCACCTCCCCAACAAACTACTTGAACACAAATGTTTGTTCTGAGGGTTTGATTTAAGGGGCAACCCAGTTAAGACAGTGTTTCAAATTATTTTTATTTATTTTTTATTATGTCCACAGGTATGGTTTATTGAGGGACAATGGGACAGACCAAAAGGAAAAGACACATAGGACAAAATATGGAAAGTTCCAAATGTAAAGCTTCCGTTGTCCTTGGTAGGCATTATGCTCCCAGTACGGATGTGTGATAATCCATAGGGACTCCTGTCAGCCAGGGAAGCTCACCTGAGTTTCTGTGTCCAGAGTTTTTACTGGGGTTTCATTACACAGGCGTGACTGATCGACTGATTCTGATATTGTTGAAATCAATCAAATTATTTTCTCACAGATTAGAAAGACAATGGCAAAAACAGACAGAATGATATTTAATTAGCTTGATTAGAGGTGTGCTTGCTCTTGGCATTAAATTGTATGATCTTGGAAAGGCTCCCTTTTCCTTATGAATCTGATTTTGATCACTGTTGTTGCCTTCAGCAAGTAGAAATATCCTCCCTCTGTGGGAACCTCAGACCTGTGAACTCAGCCACATGGTCAAGCAGAGATACCTTGGGGCAGCCACATCAGTATTTTTACCTGAGCACACACTCTCTGGGGCAGGTGGCAGTGGCTAAAGAGGGTGAGGGTGTGGGTGGGAGGTAAAGCATGTGCAGGAGTTAGGACAGGAGAGGGATGCTGGAAGCCTCACTTGTACCCACATAGAGAAGCAGCCACACACAGACCTGCACGCACACATTATCCCTCTTAGATGGTGGTACAGCCTCATCCAGATTAGCTAATTGTGTCTCAGCTAACACTAATTGTGTCCTGTCACAACACAACAAAGTGCAAGGTTCTTCTGTTTAGGAGCTTCTATTTCAAAGACTAGAGAAGGAAGTTCTCCTTTCTGTTCCTGCAGAGATTGTTTTGTCCCTTTAGTTTAGTTTTGGTTACAGGATTTATCTTTGTAATAATTGGCACGATTGTTGATGCCCGTGACTGTTGCAGTGGTCTGGCTTCTAGAGCCTTCTGGTTTTCTAGGATTCATAGGCAATGTTTGAATGTTATAATACTTGACCTAATTTTTCCCAGAGTTACATTTATCACTTCATGTTTAAAAGATGCTGTAGTGCAATAATCCCCAAATCTGGCTACCTTTCACAATTTCTTCAAGTATTTATTGA